CTAATTGTGAAAGGTTACTACATGCCAAAAAGGGAGAAAAGAGAATCATGTCCCCGTTCTCATGAATGTAGAAAGAATTTATTTTGCTCAAATTCTATCTGTAAAGGTAATGTTTTCAGTAATAGAGCAACTTCATGTTTTAATATCTATTTTAAGCTTGTATCCTACTTTTAGATTCAAACAAGAGGCTGAAGAAGCTGCTGCATGCCGTATTGAGTGTGTAGGTCCTAAACCAGGGGATCCTAGAATCAAGCTAGGTAATGGGATCAACGTTACATATTCATGTACCTTTGTAAGGAAAGAGGAGTTTGGACCTTTACCCATGAGAGCACTATTAACGTAAGTTGTTAAGCGGTTTAAGCCCCGAGTGTTCCACAACTAGTTACTTTGACGGAACGTCGATGTAACAAAATGGATAAAACTTCCCGGTTACAATTTTTTTATTTTCTCGATTAAACATAGTCAAGTTGCAGATTATAATTTGGGACAAAGCTCGAAAATATAATCTTGTTGTAAAAAGTTTGTTCGATTTGGAATTTGTTTTGTAAATGAAGTTGCAATTCATATATTTAGCCCCGTTATATTACCAATGTATGTTACTTTGAAGAGTAACGTCAATATAACAAAAGCAATGATCTAAATGCATAAATTGCAGCTTTATCTAAAAATCAAATTCCAAAACGAGAGCATTTCTAAAAGCTAGACTATATTGTCTAACTTTGTGCCAAATGATAATCCGAAAGATGACTTATACGTAAGTTTAAATCGAGGAAACGAAAAATTCGTATCCAGGAAGTTCATCCATTTTGTAACATTGATGTTCCGTCAAAGTAACTAGTTGTGGAACAGTGATAAAGTCAATGTTTTCCTCATAACAAATTTTCTTTTTACTATTCATCTGTTGTAAAATATAAAAAGGCTAAGCGATGTTCTGATTGGCCAGAATGTAATAAATAATGTTAAGCTATATGTGAATATTTATTAATGAACAGTTCATATACTATGCATTTGTATTATGAAATCAATATTTGAATGGAAATTTGTTTATTACAATGTACTGTTATTAATGAAACAAAACTAAAATCCTAATTTAGTGACACCATATCTTTCAGACTAAACAGGAAGTTCATCGTCGGGTCTTTGAATGCCACTTCACCATTAATGTTGAGCGGGAGTACGTGTTTCACAGATAGCACGAAAAGGAGAGTTCACAGCAGAAATAATTGGTCGAATAAAACGCTGTAGAGGAGATAAAAATCAGTGCCGATCAGCCAAAATGTGCATACATAATATAGGCCAATAGGTATTCACATATTATCTGAATAAGACAATTTTAGCTGAAATTATTATCATTCTCTTAAAATATAGTTTGAGCATGAACAACAATACTATCTAGAAAAATGTAAACACAACATTTTTAACTCTGTTTTAAGCCAAGATGCTATACCCATCAAGCCACAAAATGATAATACTTACGCTATATTATACTATATCATACAAGTACTTATATTATAGAAAATAAGACAAGTAGCAGATTGTTATATACAACGTCTCACAATGGATAGCACATCCCATAAATCTCCATATAAAATAATCAACGAAGATAGAAATATAATATAATGCTTTATGAAAAAGTTAATCTAAGAAAATAAATATATGATTAAATTGAAGCATAATATTTTGCTTATTCTATGTATGACTCTGGGGAATATTTCCTTGGAATAAGTTATTTTTCGTCATTATATAAATTAAATATACTATCTATCCATTTATTTTACCAAACCCAACACCCTGGCTTCAACAGCTATGATGAATAATTTTATATAGAGATTGAAAATAAATTTTAATCCAAAGAAATTTCAGAAATGAGGTGACATTTGAGTAAAACTAAGCCACATGGTAGTTTTTACCATTTCTTTCACTTTAGTACTTTTATATTTAAATGTAATACTAAAATTTTCTTAACCATTGACATTTTTTGGTTGTGAAGTGATAGCAGCTGCTAGTCCAATGACTCTTGGTAGCTGAAAAGTGTTCAGTATACTTATTTTAGAAGGAATGTGCCTACATTTCAAATTCCAACTAAATGTTTGATTGAACAATTCAGACTGATTATGTATAATCACTCTAATCAATGACCATTGTCTTTTGTATGGAAATGTGTCTGATATAAGCGGCTCATAAGTTTAAAAAAAGGATCAAAATGTTTGTCTTACAAGGAAAAAAGGAGAGGTTTTGGGTAATAGAATGTGGACAAAGTCACCACAGAGGGTACAGTGGAGCAGCCCTGAGTCCTGATCGGATGTTTTGAAAATCATGATAGTGTCAGGAAGTGAAAAAATATATTGACCATAAAACTTAATCATTTCAACATGGTAAACTATAAAAGTCATGTCGTGTAACATTTTAAAAACCACAAGTAAGGTTTGATGCGTGAGGAAATTTCATGACATGTTTATCGATGTTAACTAACATGAAATACTACCAATCATGCTTGACATTTTAAAAGTCGTGTTTGCTTTGAATTTTCCAGATAGAAGGTAGACAATTTAGGGGAATATTCCTTTACCAAAGTCAACATGTGTTATATCACGTTCATAAACTCCTAACCTGCAACTCCCAACTAACATGCAACTCATAAATAAGATTTAGTTGTCATGCACCATACATTTTTATCAATATATATCACAATGAAATTTCATACCATAAAGAAGACTATAAACTCTCAGAGAATTCAGGTTCACAGACATAATTTGCTTCCTTGTTACTAAGGAGCTGGAAGAATTATGCAGGGTCTAATAATATATCTCATAGGTGTAGTTGTGTTCACAGGTAGGTATTGTGAATTAAAAATATTATATACACATTATTAATCAAAAACCTAAATCAAATATAATGGTCAGAACATATAAACATTTGCTTTTGTTGTTTGAAGTTAAAGCGAAAGACTGTGATGACCATGGCTATTGTCCCTCAAAATGGTACTGTAAAGATGGAAAATGTGCAAAGATGATTAAACCTCCAGGGGCTTGTACAGGGTGGTCCAAAAAAAATTGGAACATTTGTTAATTGAACACAAAATCTTTATTTTTTCTCTAAAATGCACCAAAACTTTACTGAGAAGAGGCCAGCCACTTTTCTATCTGATGTAAAGTTTATAGTTGCATACAACAAAGTTAATGCATTAAACTAGTCAATGTTTGATATGACCCCTCTTCTCCTGAATTACAAGTTGAAGCTGGGATTCAGATTTGTAAATATTCAATAAGTTTGCTGATCGTTTGTTTTGTCAAAGCAATCTTGACTAAAAATTCAGTTTGATCAACCTTCCTATTTGTTTGCCTTGGAAGATCAAATCTAGTAAAATATTCAACATTTTTTACCCAAATTGATGGGTATCAAGCATATTCTGATGGCGTTGGATATATTACTGATTGCATATTCTCCAGAAAGAGTTCGGGGCAGTCTGATTTGACTGGTAAATGAAGCCGGCCCTCCCCTTTATTGTTCTGATATGAATAATATTCATTGGATATATCAATATGCATGTCAGTATCATAGAAGAGTCTCCAATAACACAGATGATAATTATATGTGCTTAGCGTAGGTTTTTAATAAAACTTTGTGAATAACTGGTCAGTTTTGCCTTTACTGAAAAGTGGGAACAATTCTTTTGTTACTATAGTAGCTGTGAGGGTTATGCAATTGCTCACCTCTGACATGTTCCTTCTTCCCTACTCTTAAATGAAAATTATCATTCTGGGTATCGTTTAATTTGGTATTAACACAATATTTTTCTGGTAAACCCCAGATGTAAATACCTCTTGTCAACTGGATATTATTTTATAATATGTTTATAGCAATCAACATGTTCATTAAAGCTTTGAAATAAAGAATACTTGAAAAAGTAACGGCGAAATTAACACGTGTATATTTAAGAAAGGGGGCTCCTATCCAACATTGAATGGTTTAATGCATTAACATTGTGGTTTTCACCTATAAACTTTACATCAGATAAATAAGTGACTGAACTATGATCAGTGAAAGTTTGGTGCATTTTAGAAGAAAAATAAAGGTTTTGCGTTCAATTAACAAATGTTCCAATTTTTTTTGGACCACCCTGTAATAGAAGTGTTGAATGTATTGGAGGATCTCAATGTGAAAGTAGTGAGTAGTATAAACTATATTAAATCCAGACCTAGTAATATATATATTCACATCCCAAACTGGTCTCAGAACTCCGCTTTTTTAGGTGTTTGAACCTGCCAAGATGTACTTAGAGCTGGTGTGGACAGAGCGTGACAATATAGTCCAGATATCTCTTCGCACGCAATTGCTAGACATACCAAGAGAAACTTTGTTGTACTTAGACTGATTATCAAAATTAGCTGTAATTGCTCATAATGCAATAGAGTAGTATCTATTTTGGTTCCACTGTACAAAAATTTAATATAAATAAATCACAGATTTAAGTGAAAATAAAATAATTTAATTATTTGAGCCCTGCTAATGATGGGCAAAATTTGACCTTCTTGGTTTTTGGGATTTTAGAAAATAATGAACATGTTAGTACCAAGTCACTCAGTACCTGAATACCTGATATAATACCCAATATCTGCCTTCCAGTTGGCTGGTCTGAATGGTTAAATCAAGATAAACCTAGTGGTAAGGGTGATTATGAGTTAACAGAGGATTTTAGGGAAGAAGGCGTAAGCATAATTCTATGATCATAACTTGCCTTGTTGATTGCCTTATCCAAATTCTATATAACGTGGTCATTGATATTGTACATATCTGCAAGTAATACGTTTATTCGATATATGTATCTGATCCAACTGAATTTTATAACAGACATTCAATGCTTACATTTTGTCATTTTCTAGATGCTGACATGTGACAACCCAACAGCAATTGAATGCAGAACAGTAGAAACCCATATTCCTGCTTTTGAAACAGGGCAAGTGTTTGATACGTCTACCAACTGTTCTGTAGAAGGGGGGTTAGGATGCACCAATAACCAACAGGAGGCAGGTAGTAGCTGCCAAAATTATGAAGTGAGATATTACTGTTCAGGTTGGTAAACTTAATTGTGAAACCATCCAAGTTACAACATTTATATACACTCTATTTTTGTATGCCCGCTGTGCTGGTGAATTGCGTAATGTTTTAATGAGGTTTCTCCCCAGGTATCACTAAAAAGAACAATAAGCCCTGCGCTCATCACATGCTCGTCTTTTCAACAAAGAAAAGCTCATTTAAGCGCAGTGACAATGTTTAATGATAATATACAATTATTGACCTCTCCAGAGGTTTACTGTCAAAATTATATCCCGAGACTGTAAACCGAGACCGTAGGTCGAGGTTTACAGTCGAGGGATATAATTTTGACAGTAAACCGAATGGAGAGGTCTATAATTGTTTTGTTAGTCCGAAGAATATCTTAGATTTTTCTGACCCTTGAAGTTGACTTGAAGTTGGATCCAGACCCTCGAGATGTTCATGTTGTATTTCAAACACAATATGCTATTTTGATATTATAATTAAGAAATAATTTATTAATGAAATGATTTCAACTTATAAAGTCCACCGTCTTTTTTTCTAATACCAACGTAAAACTTTTTCAAAAAATTATCTACATCTGCCACGGCAGTAAGTTCACTCAATGGAGTCAAATTACTCTCCTGGGCGAAGTCCACTAAAAGCTTTGTACACAGTTTTAGATTTTTCTTCGTATTTTGACTGTCTTTACTCTCTAAGAGACTAATGATATCCTCATCTTCAACATTTTTGAAACGGCTAGTGCTAGCGGCGGCCATTTTATCGTCTGATAATGACGTCATTTTAGTGGAATGCTGGGAATATTATTCACCGGCAATGCATTGCGCGGTGTACAGTTAAAATTATTCACCGCTCGTTGACCAATCAAAATCGAGTATTTCAACTGAGGTACTAACAATACATGTAGTAATACATATGTCATTGAAATAGTCTGAATGTACTTTATGAGCATTATTCAAACCAGTAACTTTAATTGAAACAAGCAAACAAACAAAAAAACAAATTATCTAATGTGAAGCATTAATTAAATAATTAATTTTTTCATTAATAACTTGATTTTTTTAAATACTAAAATAATTTTATATACTATAGACAAAAGATGTACTGAGAGATGCCGTGCTGATGTTGACTGCTTGATGTACAAAGGGGGAAATAGAAAATACTGCACATCAGGGGGACTAGTGACCCTTGTGAAAGGCTACTGCGAACCACAGAAGGTTGATGGCGAACAATGCTCTCGTCATCAAGAATGTAAAAAGGATAGATTCTGCAAAAATGCAATATGCAAAGGTAAACACCACAATTAACAATTGAATGTGATTATGTTTAAAATTGATAACAAGAGCATGGGCGTAGCGCCCGGTACGCCTAGTACGCACAGTCGTACCAGATCCCCATGATGGCGTACTTATCATAAAAATAGCGCTACGCCCATGAAGAGGCAAGGTTTAAGAAAAATTTTGCATAAAACTGTTTAAATGAAAAACAATATCAAAACTCATGAAAATGTAATGGTGGTCTAAATAGTTTTAAATTAAATAAAGATTTTCGAGACATTACGGATGAATTTACGATTGTCTGGGTTTTAACTATTATAAATATGTATATAACTTTCAGCGGCAGAAGAAGCTGTTACATGTACTATTTCGTGTGTAGGCCCTTATCCCAAAAACCCACAGAAGATCAAGGTTGGTGATAACATAACTGTCACATACTCATGCACCTTTGTTAGAGAAGGACCACAAGGACCAATGTTCATTGAAGCAGAACTTACGTGAGTAGAAGAGACTTCAGTCTCCTTTACTTTTTAATTTTTAAGTCATACTTTGAAGTCTGAATTTATTTAGAAATATAGACCGAAGAGCAGGTATTATATGGATGAATAAATACTTCAGGGCTAGGCACAAATGTTTTCTGTAGCCAGAACGACAGAAAGTGAGGGGTTCTTAAGCTTTTATGCCTAGCCCTAAGGTATTTATTTACTACTCAATGTGAAGTCAATATTACGATTCAAACATGAAAACTCAACAAAACTTTCCGAATCGTCATTATGGTCCGCCATTATACGCCAAATATTACTCATATTACCACGTGAATAAATACAGGGTGAAACTTACTTTGTTCACAGTTTATAGAAGACGTGATGGTGAATACAGTCATATAATAGTCGAATGTTATATTGCTACCTGAAGAAAAGTCAACTTGTTTCAGAATCACTCTCATATACCACTCGCATGTGTTTCTCATAAACAAGCCATTGAACTCAAACCAAATGCAACTGCAAGGTCTATTACGTATAGTTTCAATCTCATTAAAAGTACCAAAGCTTCACACAATATACTATTGCATTGTAGTGTAAATAGAAAGATAAAAGTTGTATCAGGGTCGGGCATCTCACCATTGACGCTCAGTGGACAGCATACTATAATAGCACGTGGAGGAATTTTCACTTGTGAAATACGTGGGGAAATGAAAAAATGTATTAACAAAAGGAAGTTCTGCAGATGGGGGAAAAGATGTGTTCTTCGGACATAAAGCTGCTATTCTATTAAATACATTCAACATTATGAATTGATATTTCTGATTAGTGAATTTACTTGTAAGTCATATTGACTATATCAGACCCTTGAAATCCTGAAATAGAAAATATATTGATGAACATTACATCATATTTACACTTGTTTTGTGAAAATCATTATAGTAAGGACGTTTAATAAAGGTGCACGTAAGATATGGCAAGCCATTTTCAAAGGGCTATATCTTTAGTTCGAATAACGCTTTAACCACAAAAACAAAAGGTTCTGTTAGAGCCATGTCTTGTCTTCAATAAATGACAGTAGGATGATAATCAAGTTGAATGGATAATCTCTTAAGCTGTTCCTAATCCAACCATCTTCACCAATTTTCCCTAATTCTGACGCAATTTTCACCAAAAATGCAGCATTTTATTTCAGCTTTTATGGCAAAATTACAATTTATTGCAAGGAATGATCTACCTCTAAAAAGGAAAACTTGATTACTTTGGGATTAGGATAATCCAAAAACAATAACTTTTTTAGGCCGAATTTTGGACCTAAAAAAAGCAATTTTTTAATGAAATTAATGCACGAAAACATTGAGCTATTTCACATGATTGATTTCCAAAAAGAAAAAAATGATCTAAATGAGATAAGCATTATCTGATAATCCATTTGTCATTTTTACCTCATAGGCCATGACCTTAGTGTGAAGTGTATGAAAAGATGTCACTTAGAGCGACATTTGATGTACATGTACCCTATTTTATGCAATGATGTTTATAGATAGAGTTATATATGTTCCATAGATGGCATGATATATTGTACATAGGTGAGTGCTAATACCCTGAGTGTGTATTCAATGTTGCATAATTGCGTATTATAGAAATGAGCATGGATAATGTCAACATGACTGTGTTGTGTAAAGTATGTTCAGTAAAACATAAATGATCTTTCGAATAGTGTTATATGTAGTAGGTATTGATACAGGTACCACTGTATACAGAGTACACGCAGATAATAATTTTCTCCAATGGTTTGGCCAAACATTTGTTGCACTTTTTGTTCATTTCTAAGGACCATATGCACTCTCCATTGGGATCTCCCTATGAGAAAAAAATAGTTCATCTGATTTTTCAAAATGAGTATTCTGCTTTAATTATTACATTTATATGCACACTAGTATCTTGTTGACCTATATTCAGCACTGTATTGATGTATAGGCCACTTATTAGGGTCATAATTCAATCATGAAGTGTAGAGGCATAGATTCCAAACCAGGAAGTATTTTTATGTCTGTCAAAATCCATTTGCATCCTAAGCATCCCTACATCTTATCCACATATGTTACTACATAATGAAACATAATAGTATATTCTTTGGTTTTACGAAGTTGTATGATTTTTGATAAGTGTAAAAGTTGTTTTTGGAGCATTTTTCTATAGCCATTTTGTAGGGAAAAAATGATGAAAAAATGCACAATCATTTAATTTTAAGTATGACCTGAATCGATTGCAAACTTCATATTTGCACATTTGATGAGATAAACCATTTGTGTCATATTATGAAATTATTAAGGTTGCAGTCGATTCAGGTCGTAGTGTATTTTTAGTATTTTGGTGATAATCAATGGAAACCAATGGCCTCTATAGGGATCTGCTGATATCCTCATGTTAAGTCAATGATGCACAGTCCCATGTAAGTCAATACAACCTTACTGAACTAAATGGCCCCTATCTCAGCCTATATGTGCCCGAGCACTTTAATATTTTCCAAAGAGTTATATAACATTCTATTCTTCATGTTACATCTAAGAATTATTTATTTTGACCATGGGGATATTATTTGCCAATAAACGCGACTGTTCTTTTTATTGGATTGTTTTTGCTGATTGGGATTTTTATGGAATAACAGTTTAATGCTATGAGTTTTACCCTTTGACAATAGGTGTATTGCCTTGTGTAATTATGATATTGTCACTCGATCACTCTATTCTCTTAGTCAATACCTCGGGCTTTGTATGAAAAACCTTATACCTCGTACCCACTTACCCGCGTACTTGGGGCATGATATATTCTTTGAAGAGTTTAATTCTAACGTTTCAGATTATTCAGATTATATGAATTGTTGGTGCATTAATGCACTTGTAGACCTACGTGTTTGAATGGCGCTATTTTGACAATCAATGAAAAACTAAAATTAACAATTCTGGCTTTATTTTATGACTCTATATCTATCTATCTTTGACTAGACGAATTTCACATCTATGGATACTATGAATGTATTTATACCTCAGATAGCATTAGATTGAATAATCTTTTAGAACTTTAAAAATTGAACCCTTCAAAACTGTATCACCACCTATGTACATGGTATGAGATACGAATGCCACCACCTTGTAGTTTAAGTCAAATCTTGAAAAGAAAATGTTATTTGAAGCAAGTTGAAAAATGCCTTTTTAAACTTTTTGAACTTGAGAGGTCAAATGTCAATTCAAAAGTCAGATATGACTTTTGAGAACTTGTAGGTGATTTTGAAAATTCGGTCAATTCGAAGCAAGTTGAAAAATACCTTTTAGACCCTTTTTACTTTGAGGTCATTGGCGGTCAATAATTGTAAAATCTAAAGTCAGATTTGAATTTTTGAGACCCTGCTGATCTGATTTTGAAAAACTGATCAATTTGAAGACCTTTTTCACCTTCAAGAATGTACAGTAGTAAGAAAGAGGAGTGCATTCTTGTTGTATTGTTTTTGAAGAATGGACACCGTAAGCTATCTTAAACCAGTGTGGCACAAAATATGATTGACAGTGTTTGGCTCAATATTACACCTTGACTGTCACATGCAGTGCACCGAAGCTGTACTTATTAAACCATTTTCAATCACCCAATAGTTGAATTGTAAACACAAAATAAATACACTTTTTAACTGTACCTGCCTGATACATGCGGTGCATTGAAGCTGAACCAATTAAAACAACCCACTTCTCTACACATTTACCTCACAGTTAATACAAAAGAATTTTTCTAAACTTGGATCATGGGTCATTTACCCTTCCTAAGAGTCAGTGTGGGTTTTAAGTTAGATAAATTATTCGAAATGGGTCTTATGAGAACTAATAGCCTCAGGCCAAGCCCCTTTGCTATTATTTCTCATAAAACCTAGTACTCATAGTTTATCCATAACTGAATGAACGATTAGAGGATTCAGTGACCTTCTATAAAATTACAAACTGAACATGTTGCTATACCTTAGACGACTACCTGGTTGTTATTCACTAAAGGGGGTCTCATTATAGGTTAGCATATAAAAATGCTTTTGGGTTCAATGGCTGCCACATGCACTTGGTTCGGGGTTGTTGTTTTAAGGGGCTGTAATTAGAATTAGAGGTTTTGGTTTTAATAAGGGATCCCAAACTTATCTATAGGCCATAGGCCTATGTAAAACTAGTAGTAAGCTTATGTACATCGAGAGCACTCATAAGCTGCCTTCCTACTACTTTTCCCCAGGCCTATGCTGTAGGTCAATCAACGGAATTATGATTAAGCTTAGGGGTGCTGTGATTCAAGAAATTAATAGATGCTGCATCTAATATAACACCATTGTAATTAAGGGCATTCTTGAGTGGATTTGACATATGATGAAGAAACAACATAGGTGACCACGGGCTTTGAAACCCCATTACAAGTAGTATCGAGAATTCAACTAACAGCTGCCAGATCAACCTACTATTTTATGGCTCATTAGATATAAATAGCATCTGCCACTATTCATTCGTATTAAAATGAATTTGCCATCAACAGTAGGTTAAATCATCGCCTTTTACCCAACATATGACATCATGAATACTATCAAAGTGCAGTCTAATACCGAGTGAGCCAAAAATGTAGCCCAAACAAATTCCGCATCTGTTAAAGTGTTATTTCGCATAATAAAACCTTGTTTAATGTTCTTTCATTTTACCAAGTTTAATTATTACCACCTTGCCGGGCCAGTTCTAGGGGTTTTAGTGCAAGTTTAATTAGAAGGCGTTCATTTTACTATGTCGACCTGAGAAATGTGTGACGTCATAGTGGTGCATGGTCCATATGGACCGGTCTAGAATATATTCTGGACCGGCAATTTTTCCCCGGGGAATTAGATAACGTTCAGTTCAAATAGTCTTGGATTTTATGGCTATAAAACGAAACATGGTCCAAAATGCCAGCCTCATCTCATGACTACGGGCTATCTCTGAGATAATGTCAACCCCTACAACAAGTAGGAGAACAATTTCTGTGACGGTGACCTTACATTCTCAACCGACTAGTACAGGTCTGCCTGAAGGGACGAGGCTGAAATTTGTAGAATGGCCATAGAATTGTGACCTTGATGAATGGACCCTTAAAACATGTTTAAATACAAAAAGATTTTACATGGTAAAATTAACTAAATATGGTTTCAACTCATACTGGATGAATGAGCTAACAACATTTCTTTGGATGACATTTTTTGCCTCACCCTGTAATTCATTTTATTTTCACACTTATTCATTTCAGCCTGCCCAAACAAAGAGTCTAGGTTGAATAGCCAAAACCAGGCACATGTAATTACAAAGAACTATTCAGTATATAAATAGCTCTACGTGAATGACACAACTGTTTTATACACAAACAATTGTCAAGGTAAAATACAGGATTAAGGCAATCCATAAGGCTGAGTAAGTCACTATCCGAGTGTTTGAAACAGCATAACAAACATATTATTTATGACACTTAGCTGCCCTCTATTTTGTAATTGTATAATATAAGTATGAAGCACCTTAGAATATCAGAAAAAAATCCGAAAAAATCACGAAAAAATACCAAAAAGTAGGTTCATAATTAACTTTTCCCCTTTACAGTTTAAATCATGTTTGAAAATTCAATACAACTTTGCACTAAAAATTATTAAAAAGGCCTGCACTTTTGGTGAAAATTGCGTCAGAATTAGGGGAAATTGGTGAGGATGGGTGGATTAGGGACAGCTTAAGAGATAATCCAATCAACTTGATTATCATCCTAATGTCATTTATTGAAGATAAGACATGGATCTAACAGAACCATTTGATTTTGTGGTTA